GTGACAGACCACACCACTTCCGTGCAGTCAGGATCAGCGCAGCAGGGCCAGGTAGGAATTGTGTACGCAGCTACCTGGTAATCTGCATTGCCTTGCCCATTTCCAGTACTCTGTCCAGCAATTCAGCACCCTACAGTGCAGAAAGCTGATTATGTGTGTTTGAAGGAAAAAGGGAAGATTTAAATACTGATATCCAAAATTACTGTGTTAAAAATTACCAGGTTTCTACACTGGATTTGGGTTTTTTTTTTTTTTTTTTTTTTTACTTCTGTTAAGAAACAACAGTATTTCAAGGAATTGAGGGAAAAACCAACACTGCTGACACAATAAACCAAAACCCACAATGGATTAAGGGGTTGGAGTTGCTGCAGCATAAGTTACTCTGTCTCAGCTGACAAGTCACAGCTGACCACATTCCCCATAACTCTTGCATTTGTGATGTTAACCACGTTAGTTTCAGCCATTTTACAAATGCTCATCCCATTATATTTGGTTAGCTTTTACACTAAATGTTCTACTTTTAAGTTGCAATACACACAGTGTATCAACCCACTTACTGTGTCTCAACTGATGAATAGGAAGTTATCGAACTTCATTATCTGGACTACCTGTGACCGCTGATACATATCCTGTACTTGGGTGTCTCCCCATAGCCAATAACATGAGGACATGTGTCATGGGATAAAGACTGGGATGAGATCAAGTTACCTGAGGATGGCAGGGGGGGAAATGATGCACCCATTTGCAAGCCTCATTTAGAAAACAGGTTTTGGGGAGGGGAGGAAGTCTAGCCTAGACTGCACTGCTGAATAACCTTGAACAAGAAAGGCACATTTACATTATTCTACAAGATAAAAACTAAAACTAAGCTATGCTATAATTACTTCATTTAGCTGTGGTGACTTAGGAACTTTAGCAATGTCTATACAGTGACAGGCATAATCAGAATCAATCCAGTTTAAACCAATTCACTTTAATGTGAACTGGAAAATAACTTCTTTCATTGTGAAGAAAATGAAGTTAAAATAAACTCTCTAGTTGCAAATAACAGTACAAAAAAGCAAGGTGTCATTATTTAATGCTTCATCCTTAATTAGGCACTGTCAAACCAACTGAAAGCCAACGTTTAGGTTTTCAAACCTGAAACGTGTACGTTCCACTTTGCAGCAGAACCATCTCATTATTAGCATAATGATGAGTTTTCATACAGCAGTTCTGAAACATTTCACATGAGTCTGCAATTCAAACTCACAAGCCTGAGCTAAGCATGAGAGTAGAAAGCTACTGAAATCTCCCTGCTGATCTTCCAATCCTATCATGCCACTCAAGAGAAGTATACTGAAAAAAAAAAAGTTAGCAAGCAACATCTTTGCTAAGAAATCAAGGTGTGAAAGAGGGGAAAAGATTTCTGCAAGACACCGAAAGGACTATTATTGGGTGAAAAAAAAAGAATTTAAAGTTTTTGATATAGCCCCTTTAAATCTGTCTCAAATATTTAAGTTAATGAACAAACACATTATAAAGACAGGAAGTCTTCAGCATGAAGCTAGGAGAAAATTTCAGAGTTTAAAGTGAAAAACCTGGTGTCAAGGACTTAACTGCTTTCTCAGTCATGCTCCCACGACCAAGTGACCCCAAGGAAGTGGTGTCCATGCAGATTTTGGCCTAACAATAACAACTGAAAAAATTCCCATTACATCTACTTGTCATTTTATCTGCATCAGATTTTGAGAAAGACTAAGATCATAACTGTTCAGTTTTGACCTCAAAATACCAAGAGCAGTATTCTCATCCCATAGACTGCTGTCACTGGCTTTGCACCATCAACATTCAGGCAAAAGCATTTGCAGAAAAAAGTGGAAACACCAAAAAAAAAATCATCTAAATCCCTAATGGCAAAAAAAGCAATTTTTATTAACAACTGAAACAGTTATTTAAATAAATAAAAGGCAAGGGAATAGCAAAATGGATACAGCTGGGATGTTTATTTTACATTGAGAGGTGTAGAGTTTCTGTACAGCAGAGCACAAACAGAGCATGTTCTGAGACAGGTGCTAGAGGCAGAGTCAACTAAGCTAGAAGACAGGACATGAACCCATGAAACATCCAAAGCTTGGAAAGATGTTTTATCCAACCCGATGTAGATGTCTTTGGAGAAGTGAAGCAAAGAAAATTATCTGCATGAAAAGAAAAAGCAAGATAAGGTAGGAAATAAAAAAGGTGCAGTAAAGACTTCCAAAAAAGCAGCAACGGCACAGCAGAGACCAGCATGCCAAGACGACTACTAGAGAAACACCACACCATGCTGGGACCGGAATGCTACAATAATGTCCTCATGTACCAGTACAGTACATTTTAAAGTCTGTTTTCCATTTAGAAATACCCCAAATTCAAGAAATACTGTAATCTCTGTACACAGAGGAGAAAAAAAATTCATTTGCTTGATAAGCCACTGAACAAAAGCATGTGTTGGGGGTGGTGGTGGGGTGAATTAAAAAAAAAAATATCAAAGCATACAAACCAGACAACCATTAGACCCCTACTAAGAAACTGGGAGAGGGAGGGAAAGAATAGATACAGGGATGAAAGAAAGCAAAGAAAAAAACATTTAAAAAATGGGTGCATGCAAACACATTTCAAGCTCTGAGAAAAGCTTATGCCTTGCTGAAAGCATGCTATCTTCCAAACAGAAATGATGGGACTAAACACTGCACCTCACAAGCACTTGAGAGCAACAACTCTTCCTCTTTCCCATGTCAACTGTACAGGCTTCATACAAGCAAAAGGTATGAGCACGGGAAGGTGGATTTAGCACAGCCGACCTCTGTTCAGAATTTTAGGTTGATGGAAGAAGAGTCCGTTTGTATCAAACACTGCACGGACTAGTCACACCTTACAATTCATTACTCTCCTGCTTCCCTGCCGCCTAATACACTCTATTTTTCTCCTTATGACTAAAGTTGACAATACCACATTTTTGGTATATTCAAATTAAATTACTAATACCCTCCACAAAATATGGAGAAGCAACCTACAATTCAACTGCCACTTTTACGCGTTTAAATGACAAAGTATTTCAAACCAATTTCGACACTTGTAACATAGAAATAACTGCTGAAATTTTCAGAGCAGTTAAGGAATTTCAATGAACACTTTCCACTACTATTAATAGAGAATACAGCTACATCTAAATTTCTTTTAAACTTTCGTTGGAACTTTGTCAGAGAAAAACTGTGACAGCAGAAAAATACATGTGCAGAGGCAACTTTCTTTGGTAAACTGAATATAACGGGCCTGGTAGACAATCCTTGCACAGAGGTGAACTGAAAGGATAAAGGCAGAGCTACAAACAAAGGGCAACCACAAGACACAAGGATTGCAGATACAGAACGAAAGAGTAAACACAAGCTTATTAGGCAGCTTACAAAATCACCATGAGTATTTACCAGGCTAGGCACAACACTCACCCACACTCTGCCACGGTAAAGAAATTGTTCATGGTATTTTGTACACCTATTGTTGCTAAAGGAATGCGTCTCCCGCTACAGAGGGAGTATAACTTCACAAGGCCGGAACCGCGCAATCAATTGGGGCAGGGAAGCAGGAGCAGGCACAAGCTGGGAAGACATTTACATGGAAGTCATATCGTTGAGAGCGTGGTCCAGCTCCTCACTGATGGCTTTGTACTTCAGTTTCTGAGCATATAGCTCATCTAACATTCCCCCAAGGGAAGGCAGAGGCGTGCAAGGAAATGGAGTGTGATCACAGGATGGAAGGTGAAGGTGGTGGCATGGGATACCATCCAGAAGCCATAGAAAAGGGGAACAGCACATGGAAAGAGGTATTGCAACAGACAAAACACAAATTACAAAATTAGAGAATAAGAATTTAAAAAAATAATCAATAGTGTAATAGTTTTATGCAACGAGTTCGTTAATTGCACTGCTAGAGGGGCAACCCGTGATACAGAAAAAAAGAAAGAAAGAAACTGCACAAGGGAAGCAAAATCCATGTTTCGCTGCCCTGGATTTTTGTTTTAAGGCACAGTAGGAGGGCACACAGGAGCTAGGGAGAAAAGATCCAAAAATGGGGCTCAAGAAGAACGCTACCATTTATTTTCTACTTTTTTTTTTTTTTTAAAAAAACCAAACACCTCTGGCTTGCGTGATGTCATAAACTCCGTTTCTTACAGCGATTTTTGTTCCTTCTAAAATACTTATCTTTCTTCTCTGCTTCCTTCCAGAGTCAGTGGATTATAAATTTTCAGCAGATACCTAGATATTTCACACCCTTTATGCAGGAGTCAGCCTGCCGTGCCAAGCAATCAAGCTTCTTAAAATTCTAGACGTAGTGCAACGCATCTAAGTAGTAAACTCCATGTAACTTCTGATTACAAAGCAGTATTGAAGTTATTTTCTCTGGAGGGAGAAAGCACATTCTACCATTCTACTGCAGTTCTGAAAGATTTATCAAAACCTTAAAACAAACCCTCTGAAGTTAAATAAACTGTCCTTCTGATTACACATACAATCCATCAGCTTTACTGAAAAACAGCAACTGGTCTATGTACAAAATGCCTGCCCTGATCCACACCTACTGCAGTAATAAATCAGGTTAGCTTGCTACATTCCTAATTACTACAAACATAACACAGCTCTTCACCAGCTTTTTAGCAAGATAATAGTAATATCATCTAATTATTTACCCTATACATTCATGTACCTTCAAGTAGAAGAGTATGAAGCAAAAAAATGAAAGGAGTCTTGAGAACATGAGAGCAAAAAGGAACAAGCATGAGCAAAACACTGTTCACCTGAAGCATTTAAGCTATCAATACATTTCAACTGGAAAACATTTTGCCTATTTTACTCTTTAGACAGACCCATTTATATGAGCAGGACAAGTTAGGTGAGTAGAATTGCGTACTGAAAAAAACGCCAACAACAGGAGAATAAAAGACCTGTGTTTATATAGTAAGTGAGAAAACCAAAACCCCATACCTTCTAGGTCATCAATGCTCTTCTCCAGCTTGGTTACTGACCTCTCAGCAAATTCAGCACGGGTCTCAGCCTGAAGGCGAAACATACAGACTACTTAGGAAACACACATGAATAGAGCAGCAACAATTCAAATGAGGAAAAAAGTACAACGAGAGGAGGCAAATAGTAAGGTGACACTAATTTAACACTAAACTGTCTCTAAAATGACGTGTTCATCCTTAAAGCATCCAAGTATCGTTTGTACTAAAATAAGCAAAGCTGCACTGGAAGATCTGTTGTAAAGAACAGCTCTAATTTTACCTCCTTCAGTTTGTCAGTCAGGACTTTAATCTCCTCTTCATATTTGTCTTCTTTCTGCGAGTACTGTAATTAGAAAAAAGGATCACTGATATTAGACCAGGCATTCTAAATATACCAAAAAATACCACATTCAAGACTCTCTTCTAATAGATCAACTGTATACAAGAAATTAATATGGGTATAACTAAATTAATTTCACCAACCAGACTGTGGTAACACAGTTTATTATAAGAGCCAAACTTCCCTTGAGTTATATTCCAGTTCTATATGGTGGGAACTTTGGATAGAATTTAGTAATACAGTTTTAAAGAGGAGTGGTGTTCAGAGAAATTCAATGTTCGCAAACAAGTGCCATTTTGAGGGACATTCTATAAATAACACTTAATCCTGCCAGACTACTTAACAGAACACGCGGTCAAATGATACAGACCTATCTGGAACTAGAAGGAATGCTCCAATAAGAGCCAAATAGGAATTGAATAGTTAAGTCCAAATGCTTCTACTGATAATGGCCTTGCTGAAGTGCTGCAAAGTGATCAGCATACAAAGAAAACCCCAGAGGCCAATCCAGATGACAATGCAAGGACACGTTCTCACATAAGTCTCTAGCCTACCTTCTCAGCCTGAGCCTCCAGCGACTTCAGGTTGTTGGTCACAGTTTTCAACTCCTCTTCAAGCTCAGCACATTTGCTGTTATTTCGGAAGGAAGGCAGGAAAGGGGCGGATGGAAGATTCAGTCAAGCAAAAGAAACAGGAGAAAATAGGGGGGAAAGATAGAGAAAAATGAAAACAATTACAGCGCAAAAGAACGGCCTCAAAAGCAGCTGAATCCATCACAGACTGAAAGCAACTCTTTACGATGCCAAATTCCATTTCAAGCATACATTAAGATGACGACCAGACAGAAATTATCTACAGCCCTTGGCTTACACAGAAATATTTACATAGCGTTTACATGTGAGACAGTTCAGCTTCTTTTTGGCTGCACAAGAGATCAGTTTTAAAGGCAAAAATGAATAAATAAATAAAAAAAGAGACCAAAGAAAACCACCAAAGCAAGATGCAAAGAAAGTAAAAAGCGTAGCAAGGATTTATGTGTTTTACTGAGTGAACTAACTGGCTATGGAAGCTGAAAGACTTAGGTTGCAGTTAAACCTAAAAACTGTTTATTAGTATCAGTACCTTATCCTCTGCAGCCATTAATGCTTTCAAGGTTTGATCCATTATTCTTAACTGTTCTTCCAGCTGTCGGACTTGGCTGTTAGTGAACACATGAAATGCACAAAAGCCATTCACAAAATCAGTGTGCAGGTACAGCATGCAGTGACAAAACAAACGCGCACACACATAGGAACACATTTACTTTGGCGTTGACCATTTATTTCAACCATTACAGTAAATGAGCGAAACATAGCTTTGAGCTGAACACACAGTGTACTGCCAACGGTTCATGCTGTTACAGCTGTCTTGTAGCACCTCACACACATCTCAGGGCAGTTCCACACTTACCTTTCTGATAGTTCAGCACGTTCCTCAGCCCGCTCCAGGTCACTCTCAATGATCACAAGCTTACGAGCCACCTACAAGAAAAAGCAAACGACAATCAGGGATATCATATTGCTGCAGCACACACCACCTGTTTCTAGAACCTGCAAAGCAGGGAGTTCAGCCTCTTCCCATTTTTTGGTCAGCACATGAGCTTTGATTACGTGACATCTTCATTATTCGTTTGAGTCTGTTATCTGACATTTTTCAAGACCTCTCTTTCATTCACCAAAAGGCAACTTAAAAATATTTTTCTCCCAAAGAAACCAGGAAACACTCTCAACCATTTTAGTGCAAAGATCTGAGCACAGATCTGCCACCTTGTCCCCTGAGGTATCCAGGCACCCATTTTTCCTTCCACAACTGCAAAGAGTGGTGTGTGAGATCTTTTGAACTTAAAAGGCAAAGGTTAAAAAAAAAAAAAAAAGAAAAAAAAAATTACAGGCACAGTCGTTAGAAACAGATGACCTGCACTCAAGAACTGACCTCTTCATACTTGCGGTCAGCTTCTTCAGCAATGTGCTTAGCTTCTTTAAGCTGGATCTCTTGGATTTCCATCTTCTCTTCATCCTTCTGGGCTCTATTTTCAATGACCTTCATTCCTCTGGAAGACAGGAAATGCAAGGTTCAGGGATTCCCAGTTTCTCTCCAGCTCTACTACTACTGGAGCACGACTTTCAGGCAGGCGTTAAGGTGAACAAAGCACACTGTATACTTGATTCTTCACACCACAGATCTAGTCCTGTGCATTCACACTTCAGAAGTTCAAAGGAAAGAAGAATGTCTTAGGAAGAAAGACAATTTACTTTGTTTAGGTCTTACTACAGTTTTGCTGTACTATTCTTTTTCATTTTAAATTGAAGGAAAGCTGATCTCATAGAAAGATAAATAAAGGGTCTTGCTTCCAAAGACCTAATAAGATGATTGAAGACATCTGTCCTTTTACACTCATTGTGAAACAGCATGTTACTGCAGGACTGACAGGCATTAAGCTTATGGGCCAAACAAATTCCCGTGAGTTTTGCCATGTCAGAGCCCTAGAGCATTGAAGCTCTCTGTGCTCTGCATAAGCAAAATTTAACTCCATCATAACAGTAAACATTGTGTAATGCCCCTTCATGTTTGACACATATTCTCTTAACTACTTCACACCACCAGACTTGATGATTTTAGAAGTCTTTTCCAATCTAATGATTCTATGCACTGTCTCAGGCACTTTTCAACAGGCCGCACTGTTAGTGAGGTAGAAATACATATGCAGAACACGTAGGATTCTTTCCCAATGAAAGCTACTATCACAGATATAAAATGTAATTTGTAGAAGTAAAAGAGAAGATCTTCCAAAGCCACAAATCTTGAGTTCCTAAGTACTTCTGGAAAGCCCAGCCTAAATCTGAAGAAACTACCATGCTCTCTCTCCTTTGCTCACCTTCATGTACTAATCTCACCAACAGCCTCTTCCAGCACTTCGCTATTCTCCAAGTGAGATTTTCTACCCACAATGAAATCAAGAATCACGTGACAGCACAAGAGTACACATCACCCTCAAAAAGATGTCATCCAAATAGAAAAGGCTGGGCTGGACCAAGCAGTTTTTCCAGGATGTGGCATGATACATCAAAAGCCCTACCCCACTTGAAACTTATCTTTACGAGACATGAAAAAGAATTCAAGCCTACACATTCTGGACATCCTTACAGACAAGCTGTAACCGAAGTCCATGTAGGCAAAAGAAGAGTGGATTGCACATGTTCAGAGACGTAGGAGTGGTTTCATTTATTTCCCTAACCCACACCCTGGCAATTATCCTCTTTGTCATAAGGGTAATGATCCATTCATGAGTGGCCTCACCCACCTTTCACTCTCATCTGCAGCCTTCTCGGCCTCCTCCAGCTTCTGCAGGGCAGTAGCCAAGCGCTCCTGAGCCCGATCCAACTCTTCCTCAACCAGCTGGATGCGTCTGTTCAGAGAAGCTACTTCACTCTCAGCCTAAGCACACGAAGAACAGAAATTAATTCATAGTAAGGCAGACATGACCCCTTGTAAAAATTATCCCACCTACCCGCTAGTGCCATTTAACAGCACTTCAGTAACTTCTAACTTCATCCACTAAAAAGCCTATACACAGAGATGTACATGCCCTCATTGAATTGTGAAGTTATTGCTTAACAGAGGAAGCGATTAATGCTTCCTTTAAATGAAGCAATTAAGGACCATACCATTTGTACTAGAAAGAACTGCACTGGAAGAAGTATGCATCATTCCCCAAATATTTTCTGTTACTGTATTTGCAGACATGAACTAATTAAAGTGTGTGTCCCCCCCTTTTTTTAATCAATCAACACAAACTAATCACCCTATTCTTCTATGTTATTCCAAATCCTTTATTCATGACCTTTTGCCATATTTGGATAAGAATTGTCCCAATATTTCCTGGAGTTCCATAAGAAGGGCTCAGTGTAAACACATAAAAATACACCCAGATCAGCATTTGCAATGAGACAGATGACACAGAGAGAGCATGAGGACATTTTAAGAAATGCCTGAATACCCACAACTTTTGTTTACAGACAGGCTATGTGAGATCTGACGAAGAAGGCATCAGCAGAGGCTACAACTAGGAAGGGCTCTGGTACAGACAACAGTTGCTTTAAACATCTGGGTTTTTTCCCCCATACTGTCATCCCCAAACTTCCCCCTGATTTGCCTCTCTTGCATTTCCTGCTCACTTACTCTTCTGTGTAACACTTGCAACTCATCTACTTCTCACCATTACAAGCTTTTACTTCTGACATTCTCAATCCTACACTTGCTTAAGTGGCAGAGTAAGTTCTATAAGCCTTCTCATAGTAACTTCATTATTAAACTTTACTTCTTTCAAAAGGATATTAAGCACAAAATATATATATAAATAGGTTACTATTCTAAAAAGTTAATTACTTCCAAGAATAACAGTTGCTCTTAATTAGTACTGGAAACGATCTTGCTATATTTGAGGAAGTACACACCTGAATTCCCTGTGATGTCTAGTTGGGGAGCAGGGAAATCAACCCTCTATCAAAAGTAGATACCAAAGGTATCAGTTTTGTTTTCTTTACTTAAAAATTTAAGGAACTGCTATTTATTGCCTTTACTAAGCAGAGGCAGCTAGATACAGGTGGCCACAGCTAAAATTTTGTTGTACATAACACGAGTAAGAACAACTTATACACCAGACAAGTAAAACAACCTTTGACATAACAGTAACATTGCCCCACTAGAATGATTGGAAGTAACATATAAACAGAGAAGCAAATATATATTTGAACATTAATGAGTATTGTCAATGAACATGTAGAACCAGGAGTCAAAGAGACTTCATCCTTAAGAGATCCACATTAACCCAAAGACAAAATCTTTAGCTATGTAATCAAGCAGCAGTACTCCAAACCTGTATTTTCAAACTTCTGGCTTTAAACAGTAAGAATTTGAACATTTTGATTTAAGAAAGAAAACAACCTTTCATAAACGTTACCCCTGGGAAATCCGTAATGTTACAAGTTAATTATTATCATGTCAAGACTCCTCACCACGATAAGAGCATACAACAAGAGCATACAATATGCTTAGAAAACATAGAGGGACTAAAGTTCAAGTTCTTACTTCCTGCTCCAGTAACTCAGTAAGCCTTTACCAACCAGCCTTATATGGCCCAAGCTATTCTTCTGCAGAGCAGGACTTCTCTCCTTATATGGTAAGGAAGGAAAAAACCCCAGTGACATTAAGGGGCACTCCCACAGCTAACAGACAAACATAACCCTCTGCGTTTTTGCCATAGCACTTATACACCACATATTTTTACAATGAGTGATGACATGGATAAGTTACCATGGGGTGTTAATTATTACTGTTGTAAGAAAGATTCTGTTCTCCAGAAGAACGAAAAAAAATGCATTCTGAAAATGTGATTACCAACAGCCCCTCGAGATGCATGCACTCAAACCAGGAAAGATTTTTTTTTTAAGGCAATGGCTGCTAGTCACAGTCTTGAAACTTTTAACAATCTGGTTTAACAATCAAAAGATGTAATCTGTGATGTGTTTTGGCCACAGCTTTAGCTTTTCCATTGTTTGCATATCTGTACCTTGCACAGGAAGAAAAAAAAAAAGCCAAAACAACACTAGCTGGTCACATGCTACATGTGTAAGGCACTACACTACGGGAAGGGTCAGATTCACACTTCAGCTTGCTTGCTGCAGCGTTCTCAAAGCCTCCCTCCTCAAGCATGCAGAAATGCAGCTGTGACAATAAAAAAACCTCACACATAGCTAGCACTATAGACGAGGCACAGGTCTGTAAGTGCGAGTTCACTCTTCTGCCTTTATTCATACCAGCACTGACCCCTCCAAACAAAAACTTAAAATACCACGTAAATGTACTCTGCAGAATTCCACATCACCCGTGTAAACTAACCCCAGGGAAAAGACAAACATTAACCTTTAGGATCCCAAGCCTTACAGCAACGTGGCTGAGCTCTAAAGCAAAGACTTCACCAGCAAGATGTAATCACTTCTTTAATGCTACTCCTTCTAATGGGAGGTGTCCCTGCCACGGCAAGGGGGTTGGAACTAGATGATCTTTGAGGTCTCTTCCAACGCAAACCATTCTATGATTCTATGAAAAGGTAACAGCAAAGCTTCCTATTTTAATGGGAATCACTTAAGTTGTTTAGAACAATACAGGTTACTGAAAATAGGAAAACTGGTGTCCTTTACTCCACAAAGCATAGAAAACAACTACGCTTTCTTTTAAAGACAGAAACCCTTACGAAACAAGTTAATGACTGTGACATGATCCCTCACTGAAAAAAAATGGATACGTGAAGTGATTTGCAAGAATGCAGTAGTTACACAAGCATAAGGAGCCATATTTTGCTTCTTGGGAAGATCACCTGCAAGTAATCAGGGCTCTTCCTTTGAACTTACTGCCCAGAAGAAGCAGAAAGCCCCATACTACAAGGAAACGCAATGATCACCATTTTTTCTATTGGGATAAACTACATGAATAAGAAATTTTTTCTTTCACGTCACTTTTATGCCACAACTTTAGACACTATAACCACTGCAAAGGACACTGTACATTTTATAGTAGGAAACATTAAGTTACAGCTGCTAGAATTCCCCAAGGTCTGTGGCAAGGCAAACAACAGCCCTACCAGGTGGGGTTTTTTTTTTTGCTGTAACTGCCACCTACAACTACATCTGCTACGCGAGTCTGGGCTGCTCACACCTGATTCGTCTCTGCCTAAAACCACGTTCCTTTTCCATCTTGGCTACAGGTTTTGACAAGCTAAATATACTACAGATGTACAGGGACAAGGGCCATATGATCACATCACTGTGGTGTTTTCAAGTACTGTGGGTAAGCACTGGGACGTGGCCGTCTCAGGGCACACTGACTTCCCACAGTTGAACTTGTTTGGATGGGACGAGCAGACGACTGGCACTTGCGGGAAAAAAAAAAAAAAAAAAAAAAA